TTCATATGGAAAACATTGATAGAAAAGTACCAAACCAGAGAGTCACTGTGAGGATTAAATTAGACAATCAACGACACATAGTGAGCACACCATGAGTGTTATCTATTATCATTTGAACAGTGATCCGAAAAGGACTTAATATGCATACTTAGGATTATCTGGAAAACCAAGTATTATACAAAGATTTCAGTGACTGTCTGTGTCTTTATATGTTACTGGGACATACTGGTACAGTGGTCACTGGAAGATACAGCACTTAACTTGTACTACAAGGTTTCTCTAATTAAGAGCCAGGGATATATTGTTAGGTGTCACCAGGTTCACAGATTTGAGAAATGTTGCTATGTACTAAATGGATAATGCCTTCAAGTACATACAACTGACAAACCACAAATGTCCTTTGAGTAAGAATTGTGACATAAATACCAATAAATGTGGCCATGGTATCTCTAAATACAAATGTGTTACAGCCATGTGCTATGTGAGGGGTGGCTAACCTGCTCTGGGTCCCCTGGTACTCTGGAGCTTGCTCTCTGCTCAGAACTGGAAACCTAGAGTGTAAGATCTCTAAGATCTTTCCAGCTGTACAATTCTAAAATAGTATGTCCTTCAAAATGTAGGAAATCATATCACAACACAGAGGCATACGATATTGTTATGGACTGAATGTTTGTGTCCCTTCAAAATTCATATGTTGAAGTCCCAAGGTCATGAGGGTGGGGCCCCATGATGGGATTAGTGTCCTTATAAGAAGAGGAAGAGAGACCAGAGTTCTCTGTCATATGAGGACACAGCAAGAAGATGGATGTCTGCAAGGCAGGAAGAGAGCTCTCACGAGGAACAGATCCACTGGCACCTTGATCTTGGACTCCCAGCCTCCAGAACTGTGGGAAATAAATGTCGGTTGTTTAAGCCACCTAGCCTGTGGTATTTGTGATAGCGGCCCGAGCAGACTTAGACAGATGGCAACCTAAGCACCCTATTTGGTATAAGTAACATTAAATCAATTAGGGGTTCATTTGGGACAAGAATTTGCATTCCATAGCTCATGATTACTGATGGATCCTAGCTAGCTACCTTACTAAGAATTTTACCAGAAAACTTACAGAAGACTTGGCACAATTCTTCCCAGAACACCTGCAGCCTTAATTTAATAATGGGCAGGATGGAGTCATGAGGCCTGAGGTTGGATTTCTCCTCTACTGCTAGGTAGCTGCTTGATCTAGAAGGTTCTTTCTCTTTTTGGGTTCCAAGTACTCAGTGGCTTACCAAGAACAGAGCAAAGGGATCGGCCACCTCAGTTGCAGGCAGAAAGGGGAAGCACCATTGGTAAAGAATTTTAAAATAATAATAAAACCAACTAAAAGTCAGCCAGCTTTTTATTATCACTGTACTCTAGCAACTCTAAACAAAGTCAGTAATAAAGAAGTCCTCACTTGAGAGTCTTTTTTGGTTTAAGTTCTAAACAATTGGTGCAATTACTATAGATTTTTAATAATATTTATGTCAACTTCAGCATATTTGTATTACTTATTCATTATATTAGTTTTTCTATTGCTGCATAATAAGCTGCCACAAACTCAGTAGCTCAAAACAACATTCCCTTCTCGGTATATATCCAAAGGAAATGAAATCAGTATTTGGAAGACATATCTGCACCCTGTGTTCACTGAAGCACTATTCACAATAGCCAAGACACGAAAACAACCTAAGGTTCTTTGATGGATGAATGGATAGAGAAAATGTGAGACAGACACACACACACACCCCGGAATATTGTTCAACCATGAGAAACAAGGAAATCCTTCATCTGTGAACCATGGGCATTATCAATAGCATGGGCATTATGCTAAGTGAAAGCAGCCAGACACAAAAAAGGCGACTGAGTTCACTGCATGAACTCAATTATACATAGAATCTAAACTAGTCAAACTCAGAAGCACAGAGTAGAAAGGTTGTTGTCAGGGGTTGGGGGATAGAGGAATTGGGGAGATGTTGGTCAAAGGGTACAAAGTTTCAGTTATGCAGAATGAGTAAGTTCTGGAGGTCTAATGTCACAGCACTGTGACTATAGTGAAAAATACTGCATTGTATACTTGAAATTTGCTAAGAGGGTAAATCCTAAGTGTTCTTGCCACACACAAAAAAGTATGTGAGGGGGCGCCTGGGTGGCTCAGTCATTATGCGTCTGCTTTTAGCTCAGGTCATGGTCCCAGGTCCTGGGATTGAGCCCCGCATCGGGCTCCCTGCTCAGCGGGAAGCCTGCTTCTCCCTCTCCCACTCCCCCTGCTTGTGTTCCCTCTGTTGCTGTGTCTCTCTTTGTCAAATAAATAAATAAAATCTTAAAAAAAAAAGTATGTGAGATGGGATGGATATGTTAATTAGCTTGTGGTGATCATATCCCAGTATATACATATACCAAAACATCAAGCTGTCTCCACATCTTAAGTATATACAATTTTACTTGTCAGTTATGCCTCAATAAAGCTAACAAACAAACAAACAAAAAACCCAGCACCCATTTATTAGCTCCCAGCTATGTAGATCCAGCACAGTGTGGCTCAACTGCTTTTCTGCTCCAGGTCCCAAGACAGAAGTCAAACTGTCAGCAGCCTGAATCTTTGGCTCCTAAGGCCACTCACGTTCTTTGCCCTGTGGCCCCCTCCATCCTCAAGCCAGCAGCAAAGCATCAGAAATTTCTCCTGCTTCACATCTTGGATTTCTTATGTCTCTGACCTCCACAGCCAGATTTAAAGGGCTCATGTGATTAGGCCAAGCCACTTGGATAATCTCCCTACAAGATCAACTAATTTGAGACCTTAACTACATCCACAGAGTCCCTCATAACAGTGCCTAGATGAGTGTTTCACTGAATAATGGGAGAAGATGCCTCTGCACCCTGGAACGTGGGGGTCATCTTAGAGCTCTGCCCACCATAGTCCTTAATAAACTTTCTGTACCAGGGAACATTAATTCAGAGAACTTCCAACTATACAGTTGGCCCTGGGTTAGCCTGGACTCAGCTATACCCATTCCTTTTGAGAGTAAACTTGTGTTCTTTTGAGTGAGTTCACTTCAAGTTCGTGTCTAATCTCTGTCAAACTACATATTCCTGCATTTAAACAGATTTAATAAATCTATAATAACAATAAGAAATAAATAAGAAATAAACAATGGTAGCAGAATGATTGCAAAGATGAAGAAACAAAATACAAGTTGCTTCTATTCTGACTTTCTATATAACCACTTGGAGTTTTCACTTCTGAAATTTAAAACTGTGAAACCATGCAAAGTGCAAGGTAGGATATTTCTATTATGTACAAATTTTCCATACACAAAATGCATGATTAAATTTGAGTAAATTTTGAAAATGTATTTAAAATTCAATTTTTTTTTTTTACCTTACTGTGATTCAGTGGCTATTAAATTGCACTCTTGTCCATTACCATGATGGACCAATTTTTAAGTATACATCTTTCTCCTCAATATTAAAAAAATTATTGTAATTAAAAAACAGTAATCCACTGTTTCTTTCCTTTCTTGTACTGAAAATGTGCGTCCTTTTTTGTATTGGGTATTTATTTTGTTTTACTGTCATGACTATATATAGAAAGCTCAAGAAAAAGAAAATTTTACTGCATTTTTTTCTGGCCATTAACATCACTTATTCCATCTCATGATTATTGCTGAAACACAGTTTGTTGCAAAAGAGGGAGAGGGATAAAAACTGATCACATAAACTTGGTAGCCACTGTAGGTGCTTGGAGCAGTTTCAGGTAACATTAGCAGAGGCTGACATTTCCTGGCTGTCTCCCACATTCGGGAGACTGCGGTAAGTGCTTTGTAGACATTATCTCATTTAAGCTGCACAAAATCTTCATTTTCCAGATAGGAAGCAGCCCAAAGAGTTGGCACACTTGTGAGTATAGAAGCTGAAACTCGAACCCAGGCCAAGTCCACTCACCATGTCACTAACAGGCAATGTGTAGAAAAGCCTTAATTTGTTGAAAGCAACATGTTCGTGTTTGTTTTTTCCTGTTAGTCCCACCTCAGGGTGGGCAGCCCCATGATTTCCTGACCCAACTTCTCTGCTGAAGCAAACAGAACAGGCCAACCCCTTTCCACCCTCCACAGTTTTGTGCCTGAGCAAGGCTGACCTGCCTGATGCTGAGTTTCCCATCAGCTCCCCTTCTTCTGGCTCCATCACTAGCTTGGGGACAGTAAAGAAAGCAAGGCTTGCTCTGATATTTTTTAATCTGCTTGCCTGCGTCTTAGTTCTTTTATAGCAAGTGTGTGTGGTTGATAGGTGTAACCCCAGCACCTCCCAGGGTCCTTGGTACATCCTGTGGGTTTAAGAAATGTTTGTGGAGCTTACTCGGCTGGCTGAATGCAAGCTACTGGTTAAGAAGGTGTTTGGAAACTCTCTGGGAATTCTGTTTAATACTGCAACTCTGATCTCACATGAATGATGATCAATTCCTTCCTCTGGCAGGAAGTAGTGGTCTGGTTTCCTCAGCCAGAAATTTTCCCCTGCGGCTGTGGTAGATTAAAACGGAAGGAGCAAGCAAAGCTGTGGATCAGGCAGGACGGTCAAGGTCAGCATGGCTGTCCAATGTGTCCAATCACACTGTCAATGGAAGGAGAGTCTGGTTGTCACTAAAGCCAGGTACAAATATTCCAGTTCTCTCCTGCTGGTGCACGTCAGGACTGTACATCTCTGAACCCACTGCAATGAGGCATGACCATGTGACTTGCTTTGGCCAATGAAATATGAGCAGAAGCTTTGGGAGCTTGTAATTCACCATGTTGCCTTCTTCCGCCCTAGTGATCATGAAATTGTGTGTGGAGCAGGAACGTCCATCAGCCTGGGTCCCTAAACGATTGTAGTGAGCAGAAGTCCTCCACCAACCCACAGTGGACAAGTAGTGTGAGCAGGAAATAAACTCTTGTCATTATTAAGTCACTAAGATTTTTAGATAGATATTGTAACAGTACCTCACCTCTCCTGACTAACATGGAGGACCTCAGGCAGGTATGTGGAGGCTGAAGAGGACATCAAGGAACTGAAGAGTTCTGGAAAAGAGAAACAGGAGATGTGGATCAAGAGGTCAAGTGGGCTGGGGGTCTGGGTAGACCCTTGTCTATGGCTGGGCTTTACACAGTCTGTGCTGCAGGCTGGCTCCTTCTGAAGGTCCCGAGTGGGAAAGGTAAAGCACAGGCAGTGCAGTGACACCATCTAGGAGATATGGCAATGATGATTTTTTTAATAAAGATTTTATTTATTTGACAGAGAGAGAGATAGCGAGAGCAGGAACACAAGCAGGGGGAGTGGGAGAGGGAGAAGAAGGCTTCCCGCTGAGCAGGGAGCCCGATGTGGGGCTCGATCCCAGGACCCTGGGATCATGACCCGAGCCAAAGGCAGAAGCCTAATGACTGAGCCACCCAGGTGCCCCGCTAATGATGATTTTGTGGCAAATGCTGACTGTCAGACTCTTCTGATGGGGGAAGTGGTGGCAGGAAAAGGGTCCGGAAGAATGTATGTCATGCACTGAGCAGTTTGATCCCGGAAAGTTCTAACTTTCTTAAAAAATGAGTGAGTTGGGATATCCACAAAGGAGGAATAACTCAGACTTCCTGTGTGGGGAACAGTGCTTAGCTGTCAGTGAGTTATCATTTTATCACACATGTCTAGCGGCTAATGCACTTACTCTGGGGCCATGCCTAGAACAGAGAATTTCTTGTGGAACATTGGTCATTATTCATACATTCATTCTGCAAATATTTGAGATCCTAGGCACTGAACCTACCACAGTGAGTAGACAGGCTTCATGGATATTATGGTCTGCATAGAGCTGAATAATTAATAGCAATTTACAATATGGATTGTTAAGTACTCTGACAGACCTAAGTCCAGGTTATCCAGAAGAAAGCCACATGAACTAGTCTGGGAGGTTCACAAAGAACAAGGCTGCTAGTTACTGCATTGGGAGTTAAGTACCTGTTGCTGTGAAGCAAATGTCCCCCACTCTTAGAGATCAATGCAAGCTTTCCTTTCAAGGACCAAAAAGAGCAGGGAAATATTAAGTTGCCTGAGGATCTGAATGCAATATAAAAAGTTCTGAAAGTCAAAGGTCTTGGAATAGAACACTCACGAGGTGAAGGCTTATGATTCATACTCTCGGGTTCACTTCGTGGTCAAACCAAAAAAGAAAAAAAAAATCTGGGGAGTTTGAAGGAAGCCAGGTATCTGGAATGAATTAACTAGTTCTTTTTCCCTCTCTCTCTCTCTCTCTCTCTTTTTTTTTTTTTTAAATTATGAGTACTACCAGAAACTCAAGAGACCCGAGACTATCAGAAAATTATAATATCACAATGATAACAGGGCTAGGTGCCTATCTAGAGTTAACCCTTCCCATTCCAGAGAGTCCTACCATATCATCCCTATCCCACTTCCTTCCACTGACCAGACCTTTTCATCCCTCAAAATCTACTTCCCAGAATTACACAAAACAAACTCTAAGCAGTGGTTCCCTGTCAAGAATAGAAGCACATGGGGAGTGAGAAGTTAGTCCACTTTTTGCCTTTTTTTTTTCAATTTTTGTATTTTTTTCAATAATACAAGCATGTATTATTTTGTTTAAATGAAACCAAAAATAAACCACTAAAAATGCACCTCCTCCATGGAAGGTTCTCTGATTCTCTAGAGTGGAGTGACCTCTTGCTCTTCAAGTCTCATTGCCTTCTACCTTAACTAACTTTCACAGCTAAGTCTTTTCCCTTTCTCTAGACTATCAGTCCCAGCTAGAGTCATCTGTAGCATGAGCATGGTTGTGTACTGGGAACTCATCTAATGTTTAGTGGATGGATAGATACCTGTAATGTTGGCACCTTACTTCATGGGAATCGTGGTTTGCTTGTGTGTGTGTGTGTGTGCATGCACACACACATGCATGCGAGCATGTACATATGCACTAGAAATTCATTTCTTTAACTGAGTCCCCAACTTTGCACAGTTTAGTAGATGTAACAACTGTTTTTCATTCCCTTCTGGTTTCTACACACCTCCATCAGGAAGAAGCTGGCCTATCATTTCCTCAAGAAATGTGAAATAGCAGTACATAGGAGCTGACGGGAGTTGGGGAAATCTACAGCTCTTCCTCTGGTGAGGAAACAGGACTCTGAGCCAGCATTAGTCCTGAAAGGCCTGCATCCCTCACCCCCGCATCTGTGTGTGCCTGGGAAGCTGGCCTCCCTCCCACACCACTGTGCATTTTTCCCTCGTGGGTCCACTAGATGGCCTTCAACGAACACAGTGACTTTGAGGAGGCCCAGATTGAAAGAGGAAATACTTCTCTGCTTATTTGTTCATTTGTTTGCTTTCTCTTCCACCATTTGTCCCCATAAATCCCTTGAAGTATCACTCATATTAACAATACCTTGTGGATTTGAGAATGGGGAAAGTGCCATGGCAGAGTTGAAACTATGGACCTTCAAGCAGAGATTTCTGATTATTGGCAGAATGATAACTGATTTTCTGAGTGTTAGCATTTTGTTAATCACACATATACAACTCTCACTGAAAGAAATGAACAGTAAAATAAATCTAGAGGCTCATTATATATCTATTAAACTAGTTAAGATAAGGAGTAATGGCAAGACCTAGTATGGCAGGCCTGTGAGGGAGGAGGCTCATTTGCACATTGCTGGTACCTCGTATATAGTGTGGCTTTTATGAAGCAATAAAGCTTTATGTAAGAGCTATAAAATAACTCATATACTTTAACCAGGAAACTTTACTCTGAGGAAAAATCCAAAAGTTAGAAAAAAAGCAAGCAGCATAAAAATGTTTTGATCACTGCTATTTGTAGCAGTGAAAAACTTGGAAACAACTTGAGGGCTCAACAATGGGGAATGACTCAGGGTATCAGTATAATAGCTGGGCATTACAAATGGTGGAAAGTGTGACCTCTACCTGTATCTGTGCATGTGAAGTCACGTTAATGACATTTTCTCTTGTTAAAGACTAATTTCCTGGTTTAGAGAGTGACACTAGGAGCAGGTTATTTTCCTCTGAGTGAGCTCTGCTACAGACATTGGTGTGTCACCAGATAGGGGCTGAACAAAAGTAAATTCAAAAGCTACCTTCCCTGAGAGGAAGTGGACAGTCCCTCCGTCAGGGAGAATACAGCGCAGCCTTCCGGGGAGAGGGAACTGGAGGAGGTCTTAGTCACCTTGGGCAGCTAGAACGAACTACCACAGACTGGGTAGTCTAAACAACAGACTTTTATTTCTCACAGTTGTGGAGACTAGGAAGTCCAAAAAAGGTGCTGGCAGATTCAGTTCCTGGTCAGGTTTCTCTTCCTGGCTTACAGACAGCCATTTGCCTGCTGTGTCCTCACAGGGCAGGGAGGAGGAGGTTCTGGTCTCTTCTTCTAATCCCATTATCTTCATGACCTCATAAACCTAATTACCTTCCAAATACCCTACCTCCAAATACTATTGTGTTGGGGATTTGGCTTCAACATAGAAGTTTTGAGGGGACACACATATTTAGTCCGTGGCAGGGAACAATTCCACCAGCAGATGTTAAGCATTGTATAGAAATAGCCCAGGCCAGGGGAATGCTTGAGAGCTGCTTCCTTTGTGGGACTCACTGGGTGTAGTTGTGGTTCTAATGGAGACAGGCTGGGCTCTCAGGGGCTAGCCCACACATGTACAGATGAACTACTGTCTGCTCAGATTGCATCACTTAACAATCATAGACTTTTTATTCTGATCTAGCATTTGAACCTACATTCAAACTACCACACAATTACATGTTACACTATTTTGTGTATAACTTAGGGCCTACAGGCTTGAACTACTTTAGGGGATAGTCTGGTGATCAAAGGGAAGAAGCCATGTGATAAGGCAGCATTTGTTTAGTAGATGTAAGTCTACTCCCAAGTCCCAAAAGGGAGATTTTCCGGGCATCCTTTCCACTGCAGTAAAAACAGGTAGGATATAAGGCAACATTGATTGCTGCAACACAAAAATGTATATTTGAGCTCTGACAAGTTAAGCATTGCAAATTAAAAAGGGTCATATAGAATATAAGGTTTGGTTCCTTTCTCCTATAAGATTGTAGAGTTAAAAATAAAATTTTTAAAAATTGTTCAAGATTTCCTTAAAATCAGAGATAGCTTTCATGATCACACATTAAAATTTTTGCTAAGCACTTACTGTGTTCTGGACCCTGTGCTAGATACCAAGGTTACATCATTGAATAACATAGACCACTGTCTTGACCTTTATCAAGCACAGTCTAGTGTAGAAGGCAACACTTACAGAATTAATTAATGCTATAGTGACAGGTGCTACAAAGGAGAACCCCAACTGCTATGAGATTGAATATCAAAGGTCCTATTTAAATGGGAATGTGGTGTGAGAATGGGGACTCAAAGATTGTTTTTTTAAAAATGTGGTTTAGACAGACTTGAAGGGTAGAGGTTAGTTGAGTGTGATCAGCCAGGTAGAGCTGCCATAACAAAATACTTTTGGACTGGGCAGTTTAAACACCAGAAATCTATTTCTCACAGTTTTGGAGGCTGGGAAGTCAAGATCAAAGTGTCAGCTGAGTTGTTTCTGGTGAGGATTCTTCCTGGCTTATAGCTGGCTATGTCCTTGCTATGTCACATGGTGGGGAGGGGCAGGGAGAGCTCTCTTGTGTTTCTTTTTATAAACAGATATGAATACTACTGGATTAGGGCCCCACTCTTATTACTTCATTTAACCTTATTTACCTCCATAAAGTCCTTGTCTCCAAATTTAGTCACACTGGGGGGCTGGGGCTTTAACAAATGAATTTTGGGAGGATACAAACATTCAGTCCATAACACTGAGAATAGGGGGAAAGAAGGAAGGGTATTATAAGTAGAGGGAGCAACAGGTGCAAAGGTCCAGGGCAGGAAGTGAAGGAATGACCCTGTGGCTAGAAAGGCAAAAGTGGAAGCAGGAGGAGAGGTTGGATTAGCCTGAGCCATGGAGGCCAAGTGAAGGATTTTGTTCTAATCTAGAAGTAATGGAAAACCACT